GGATTACTGTTGGGAGCTGAAAGTTTACTCTTTAGCGATTTAATGAATTTACTCGGATAAATGTGAAATGGTTTCGGTGAAACAAGTGATGTTTTGTCCAATGATTATTACCATTGAAAATATATTTATGTATTGTTAAACCTAATAATAGAGTAGTAACCGTAATGGTGAGAATTACTGTTAATGTACAGAGATCTCTATCTTTCTATTTAAAAACGAATACTTGGATGAAAAAACTGCTCTCCGCGACTGGAAATATCGATAGCCCAGAAAGATTGTCAATCCCAATCCAGCAAAAAGTCCAACTGCATTTAACCATAATCTCTGTCTCCTACCCCTCTTTAATGCTTCGGAATATCTCATTGTCGAGAAGCTTATCATCGCGTACAACGGTAGAAAACTTCTAGGGAACATCCAATGTAACCAATCCTCAATTCTTTTACGAACCAAGTATAAAGGATTAACTACACCTGACCTCATTTCAATGTAATTATGCATTGCCAAATCGCAAATTGCTATTGCATCCGGGTGACGATAATTAGTGAACTCCTCAAATGCAGAGACCAAATTATCATCGCCATTGTCACGATCTGCTGTGATGTTAAATTTTTCCAGGATGTTATGAAGTAATTCGACGTCCTGAAAACCACAGTTCATGCCTTGTCCATAAAAAGGAACCATGCAATGAGCTGCATCACCGATAATGATTACCCGATTCTTATAATGATAAGGTTTACACTGCGCAAAATATTGAATCATGAAGTTGCAATAGAATAAGTCAACAAACTGAATGTCAATTTTATAACATAAAGTACACACACCTTAATTGACAATAGAGAACCCTTTGGATTTTCAAAGTACTCTTTCTTAAGCCTTTGTTCACCAATCAATGGAATGGAATCGGGAAAGTGTTTTTGGAAGAACTCAATTAAATCATCATCTGTTTTGATGGCATCAAACATCTCATTTGGCATGAAAAGGGTACAAGTGAACGTCATGTTCTATAATAAAAAGGATGTTTGAATATGTAATAAGGCCAAGAGAAAACGGTGACCAAGAAAAAAAGAGTAGACCTTATTAGGTAAGGCTATCATCATGAATTCGTGCCTTGGCCAAATATGCAAATGGTTGGATTCCATGGCAAATTCTCTCTTTCCATTTTCATTGACTTTCGATGGAATAGTTAATTCACGGTAAGCATGCGGAATATACTCTTGCTGATAATCCATACTAAATCGAAACAACAAATTCAATTTCGAATCAATTACCCATTCAAAAAGTATCTTCATTACATACTTCACAATGTGCATCAATTGATTTCTAACGGTAGAATAAGCACCATCAGCTCCTACGATTAAATCTGCAGTATATTGAACCATTTTTCCATTCTCACTATTGATACATCGTAAATGTAAAAAGGCCATTGAATGATTTTTGATTTTTCGATATAATCGGTTTTCTTTTGAACACCTACGTGTTTTCAAATTCTAGTATTCCTGCATCAAAATCACAACGTTTCAATCGGTGTTGAAAGAAAAACTTCACATTGTTAAATGGTTCAGCGGCGTTAAGAAGCAATTCTAGAAGAAATTCTCTTTCCACAGAATAAATATTCTATCATTATACATAAATATCAATGTACTAAGGTTTTGATTTTTTATATTATCAAAAGATTATGTATTTGTGACTCTTACCTCATGTGAGTTGCCATAGGGCTGACTTTTGAGCTTACCTTCACTCACATGGATCATTCTTCCTCTCATGGGTATCACTGTTCCCAAAATACTATCGTCGAGATCTAAACCTGCCTTTGACAATGCACTTATTCCTCGAGTTGATAACGCCAAGTTGATAGATCTTTGAGGAACCGAGCCTTTGTTCTCGGGAAGTCGAACATCTTAACGAAACATGAGTGATAAGCAAATAAAAGAATTTGATCAAAGCTATTAATCAAATTATACCTCTGCGTTTTTCAAAAAGGTCAACATTCCAGCCACGTTGTGCAAAATAGAGCGCAGCGAGGGTTCCGACAAGACCGCCGCCAACAATAGCAACACGACGTTTCGGAATTGCCAATAGACTGTCGTTGCTGTGAGACATAGGAAAAAAATTTTATGATAAAACCCATGACGCCTTAGAACTATAGATTTTAAATTTTTAAAGCATTTTGTATTAAAAATGTTTTATTTAATTTGTATAATATAAAATAATAATTATTAAAAGGAAATTTGGTAATATTATTTCTGCCCTGAATACCTAAAAAAAAATTTATTTATGATATAAACAAGAAAAAGTTGTGAAAATCTACAATAAATAATTATTTATTATATTATAAATCTCATCCCATAATTTACGAGTGTAAGGGGCAAGTCCAATATCGTTCATGTTCGCTCAACAAATCGGCAAAACGTTCCCTCCATTGTGAGGCGCATACTGGGTGATCTAAATGATCCTCGTTCAACATATCAGTATCTAACCACACATTAGATCCCAGAGTAATTGTGCCTTTTGCAAATGGTGTAGTCTTTGAAACATCGTTCAAACCAGGTCCATTTGCCTCTGGATCTTTGACTGGATCATCATAAAGCTCAATATCAAATTTCGCTCCAGGTTTGATGATGAATCCTTCTTCTAACGTACTGTTATTCTTAAAAGGTTGCATAACAATTTCATTAATAGATGTGATATGTGCAAGCACTCCAATTTCACTGCGAGTTTTATCCAAGGTGCCTGACTCAAGTTCGAGTTTCACTTGATCGGCGCTGATGTGAATGTTTGGTGCTTTGACTAAAAGATGGTCGATGTGTAATTGCTTCTCCGTACCATAAAGGTAAAATGGCATATGGCCTGTTGGATAGTGAGTATCAAGATAATTTGGCCGGAGCCCACGTTTTTTGATGACCCGGACATTTTTTACCGGAACACCAGTCATCCAGTACGAGCCGCTAAAAGCAATTATCAAAAAAATTAATAAATGAAAAAGACCATTTTACTGAGACTAAACACCGTCTTACGATGTATTAATGCTTTTTACCTGCCATCTGGTAGGCCTTTATAGATCTCCGCTTTGAATTCTTTCTTGGACATTAAATCGTTAAGAGTCGTCTCTTCTATGTTTCCGAGCATCATAATCTGTTTCGGATCTTGTTGCCTTACTTCAATGTATTTTTCCATAACATCTGGAGGTAACTCGGCCTGAAGAATTAGTTGATGGTTGTGGTTCTCCATATAAAACATGGGTAGATGAACAAGATAAAGGCTGTCTGTCCCTTGCATTATGAAGCCATGGTGATCCGGGCTCGACTTATTATGCTTGATGGAGACCTATTGAGTATTGCAAGAAAGATTACCATGCGAAAATGAAGTCAAGATTATATGATTCGTTCTGATGAAAATTACCTTCGCCTCCTCTTCCGCGACTTTCTTAAATTCGTTCGCCAACTCCCCAATGAAATTTCCTACTGTCGGAAATGGTGACATTACTACATTCACAAGTATATACAAATCTTGATCTCCTTTGAGACCGAGACGCCTCTTAAAATTAGTCAGGCATTCTCCGTAAGCTTTTTGTGATAACTTCGTAGAAGTTATAATTAATGGTTTCGTATTCATTTTATCGGTTATTTTCCGGATTGAAAAACGTTCGTAAATGCGTCGGTTGAGAGAATTTGCTTCAATTACATTTTCGTTGACCTTGCCATCAATACGAAAATTACAAGCAAATGTATTAATAATTAGATCGGAACCAAGCTTTTTAATCAATTCTAATGCATCTTCGTCATGTATAAGATCTGTGTTTGACCGGTTAACTATTCTCTGGCGTATAAATTCCTTTTGTGCTTCAATCTCCTCGGAAGTTTGACCTTCAAGTTCAGCCGGGAGTGGGTTAAATGGTACAACGGTAAATGAGGTGTCATCGGTCGACATGGTGGCCCAGTGAGTATACATCTGAACAAAAACATGTAAATATTTTACATTCTTGAGGAGATCATTGACTTTGATAAACTATACCTTCGTGCAGGTAAATGTTGCTTCACCTAACAATGCACCATATCCATTAGAATGGAGTCCAATGATTTCATGGGAAAACCAAACACCTACGGATGATGATCCTGGCTTACTAGAAACAATGAAGTATCTTAATCATCACATTCAATTCTGAAATAATTAATCTAGTAATAATTAACCAAGATACTACCTACCTGCCCTCGATACCATATATGCCAACGCATTCGTAATCAGAATCCTGAAAAACCACGGGGCTTGTCCAGGTTACCATGTGCTTCATTCTTCCATCTCGATATAACAACCCACCAGCTGGATACGGGCAGTAACCACTCTTGTGAGGATCAACAGTGATAGAATCGCAAAATTTCAAATGTTTTAATTCATTTTCGGTATAAGGCCGTAATGCTAAGGTGGGAACATAATCCATATTGGGATCAGGAGAGTGAATGGCTCTATCTTCGGGCGTTTTACAAATCATTGACGCAAAATATCCACCCCATGCAGCATCAGCATGGATGACAAATGTGAGTCCTAACTTTTCATATTTCTCCCGCAATTTCACCACCTGAGATAATGGGTCAACAGCTCCGTGCTCAGTAGATCCCATAATAGTTACAACTGCATAAACAGCTTGTTGATTTTCGAGGCATTGTTGAAGAAGCTTGTCAAGGGCATCAGGATCCATACGAGCCGCGTTATTCACTGGGATGTTCCTTAGATTTTCCGACCCTATGCCAGTGACGGCTTAAATTTCCAGAAATCATATTTGTGTGTCTTTCATAAATTATATGCGTAAGATTAACAAATTTAACTTACCAGCTGCCTTAGGCCATGAATAATGTTTGGTGGCACCCACAAAATAGAGAGTTGGTTTGGTAACCCCAAAATGCTTTTTTAGGACATCTTTTCCTACCGTTTGAATTAAATAATTGTGCATAACGGATTCCAAGTATTGTTCAGATATGTTGTATTCCTTAGATAGCCGCTCTGTGAAATCCAATATCGTTTGCGCTTTTATGTTAAGCATCTCCCAAGTGGAACAATCTTTTAACAACTTCTGCGTTCCATCGCAGAGTTCAACCTTAAAACTATCCGCAATGAAGTGTAGGGGTTCTGTGTGATCTGAAGCTCTTCGAAGCGACAGAGGATAGAATTTGAGATTCCGAGCTAGGGATGTTTAAATTTTTAATATTTTGAAATATAATTAATAATATTTAGAGAAAAAGTGGTATAATTACCCGCCCTATTATTAAAATAATATCATAAGTACAATTGAGAACAATGCCGTATGCAATTCTGAAAATATTCAAAGATAATAAATACATTACCACATTGATTCTAAATTAGACACCGAACCACCACAAGTTATATGACCCCATCCAACAGGTTCATTCTTATTTGCAGAATCAATGTTGTATCCTACCATTTCGCATAACTGTTTTCCAACTTCAATCTCGATTAAAGTTGTCAAAGGGCCTCCTTCCGCACTTACGTTATTTTGATTAAAAAACATTGTCGTTAGATAACCAACATTTGCAGGCAGAGATGTATCCGTGTTCATGTGTCCCATGTAACGAGGCGACCAGAAAGGGACCGAATGATCCGATAGATGTCCCATAAGACACCTGAGTGTTCCTTCAAGTTTTTTCATGCTTTCTTGGAACTCAGGGGAGGCTTGTGTTTCGGAATTAATGAAAGGCTATAATGGTATTAATGAAATAGACAGTTACAATGTATCTGCACTGGTCGAAAAAAAGATTTATCAGTGCGCGTATGTTTATAGTTCTCACCAAGTCGTCTGGAAAGTATTTTTGTCTCGCTTCCATTTGGTGTTCCGCAACATTATTAAAAATTTTTTGCAAATAAACGAAATTTTCGGCTTGGGGACCAAGAAACCAAGCTCCTATGGCATTATGCTGCGAATTAAAATTATGGGTAGCGCGTTTACTATTAACGTCTGACATGGAAAATTTTTTTGTTGCTTCTTTTATGTAAACGAACTCTTTTATAACTTTCCATGATAATTGAGATTGATAAAATGGTATTACCAAGGTTATCGGAAAATTGCATATTTTATATTACGCATAGAAAAATTTTTTTTTACCGAAAATGGAAAATGGACAAAACAAAGCTGATAAAGCTGATCTCCATTGACTGTCAAAAGTTTATTTTAATTAAACTATTAAACTCAATTCATTTACCATTTTTGTAGTTTGTTTATTTACATAAACCAAACCATTGAGGTTCGAATCTGCATCATGTGCAATAAACTTTTTTTTAACGGGTAGCTTATACCTTGTTTATTGAATATTGTTTTGAGCATGTACAAATTTGTAAATTACAAAATTACAAAATTCTATTTATTCTCTAAACTTACTAAAGGTTGCCCTTACCTGTGCAGCTTATTGTCAAAAGAAATTTATTGACCAATTTGTCAAGGCTCTATTAATCTCTATTAAAAAAATTTTAAAATTATATAATATGTTGCATGATTTATAATTGAGTTGATTCTTGATATATTTGTTTTTTATTATGTTACTTTTTTCTTGTTGGTTGTTCATTTTCATTTGTTTTATTATATAATATTATTTTCTTTTTCTTATTATATAAAATATTTATTTTACTATATCCAATTCTTTTTCAAACTTTAAAAAATTCTGTCAAAAATATTTTATATGGTTTTTTTTTTACTATTGAAGGTATATTTGTTTTGATTATTGTAATTATTTTATTGATTAATGCTTCTTTCATTATACAATTTAAAATCTTTTTTGTTTAATTCTATATACTATATGTTTAATAATTTATTAGTATATCTGTGATCCTATAGTTTTTATTACTTCATTTATTATTTTCTTATTAATTATTTATATAATTATATTAATAATATTTGTTTAATTATTGTTACAAATTATAATATATATATTGGTTTTTATAGCTTTATTGTATCTTAAACATATATTATTTATATATATTGTAATAAATCATATATATAATTTGTTTTTGAATAGAAGTTTTAAGTTTTACAATTTTAGATAAAAACTTTTGATATTATAATCTTGATTATTTATATTTCCTGTTATAAGTTTTGA